TTCCCTACATCACTCTGTCATGTAATATCCTACGCTCTTATTGAACATCAGTATAAGAAACCTCCCAATGAAGGGATTTTCCTATCTTTTACAAAACTCCCTATTAAAGACACCATCCCCTTAGTGAGTGTTCTTCATATCAGAAATCCATCTTATAAAAGGATCCATATCTCAAGTTCTTCTCTGAATTTAGAACCAAAAAAAGAGAAGCTCCTCCCCCCGAAAAATGATGTGCCTACTTTCACCCATCACATTCTTTCTCATCTTTGGCAGCCAGGAAGCTCAGACACTCTCTTCCTACTTCCTTAGGAATGAAATGGGGGTATATAAGTACAACCCATAAGTAATCTCCTTCCTTGGCTTACTTCAACAATTCTCTCCCAGTTTGCAATCTCCTAGACCGTGAAATTCTTCACAATTGACACTATCTTGTTCAACTTTGCTTCTCTAGCATTTTTGCAGGGAAGGCACGCAGTGTGTCCATGGCTAACTGGATTGTTAATTGGATCAATTTAACTGATACTAAAGTTTTAGTAACCACATTAGCTGTTTCAGTTAGGTGACCAGCTCTCTCTTTGTTGTAACAATATCTTGAAAGTGTTTTATTAAGAAATGAACACAAAACTCTTGAAATAGTTGGGTTATAAGGAAACAAAGGCTTTTTTTTCATCTTTTTAAAGCCAGGATTAGAATAAAAGCAATGGGAAGATGTTTCAATATTAACACCAAAAGACAAGACTAAATTACTTAACTCCTTTGCTTCTATCTCCAAAGAAAAATGATCTAGACACTGGAAAAGAGAGAGGAACCAAGATATAAATGAAATTGAAACCCTCAGTTAAGTGAGGGAATAAAAAATGAAGGCATCCTGACACTTGAATTAAGTTTGAATCTTTAGGCCTCCCAAAACTGCACCTTAAAATCTAAAGAAACGTGTAGATATGATACCTGAGCTACTACTGATTCTCAGAAATCAGTTATTAGAAGAGGTAACAGAAGACTAGAGATTTTTTTAAAGTCTTGGTTTTCAAAAGAAATGGGTTCTAGACATGAGACTAATAACCCATTTTCAAATCTACCAATTATTAAACAAATCAAGTAGGATTACAGCACAGATTCCAATTCCCGTTGGTAGGCATGGGCTCTCGAAGCCCAAAGAACATGAAATACCCAAGAGAACCTCATCTGCATTTGTGACCCAGCCATGAGACTGGATACGAAAGGACTTAGTTCCATTATCTTCAAGAAAACAAGAGCACCTGATGAGGGGCTTTGAGCCCGAGGTCTGGCCTTAACTCCACATGCTAGTCCTGTGACCCTGAGGGAGAGACAACCTTCCTTTTTGGACTCAAGTTTTCTCATCTAAACTTGAGATTTGGGGACTTAATGGGGAGCAAGTGTCACAGAGCCAAAGAACAGGAGCCGTGAAGTCAGACAGGTACAGATTTCAATCCAGGACCCCAAATGACATCCCCTCTCTATGCCTGCTTCCTTTTTTGTAAAGTGGGTACAATGTCTACCTTGGCATTCTTCTGTAGTCTAAATGACAGCATATCGGTAAAGCATCTAGTAGATGGCAGACATTTAATTAATATTTTATTAATGTTAGTCCCTTCCCCCTAAAGTATTCTTTCTCTTGGCAGCTCTAAAAACTCAGTGATTCTCCGGGCTGCTGATTAAAAGTCACAGGAAGTTAGGGCTTCCCTGGTGGCGCAGTGGTTGAGAGTCTGCCTGCCGATGCAGGGGACACGGGTTCGTGCCCCGGTCCGGGAAGATCCCACATGCCGTGGAGCGGCTGGGCCTGTGAGCCATGGCCGCTGAGCCTGCGCGTCCGGAGCCTGTGCTCCGCAACGGGAGAGGCCACAACAGTGAGAGGCCCGTGTACCACAAAAAAAAAAAAAAAAAAAAAAAAAAAAAAAAAGTCACAGGAAGTTATAGCAACTGCCTTCAGTCAGAGAGGGAGTTAAAGGATTCTCAGGGAGGGTGTAGTTCAGTTGACAGTCCTTATGATGCCCTATTAATAAGAGGTAGAAAGGTGGGCTGGAGTAATCTGCAAAGGTAATGTAAGGTCATGGTGAGGGTACGTCCTGGTGAGCCTGGGACAGACAGTCCTGGATTGCACCACATGCCCCAGCATCCTGCCCAGATAAACGTGTCCTGGTTTGTATGATAAATTTTAACAGCTAAGGGCTACTATATCCCAGAAACCAAGGTGATCAGGGAGACTCACTGGATTTTCAGCTGGTGAAAGGACTGAAGCCAGGACACTGTCGTAAGTACATCAGTAGATCAGCTTCAGTACAGTAATTCACAATCTTTCCTTCTCCATTCATTCTCTTTTGCAAAACATTCCCAACTGTAACCTGCAGGCATTTACTTTTAGAGCTTGATACAAGCCCCTGTGGGTGCCAGACCCCCACAAGGAACCTCTGACTAGTGGTACACAAGCTCCTACTCTTGTTCAATAGTTTTCTTAATTACCTGGAGGAAGACACAGTAGGCATGCTTCTTGGTTTTAAAAAAGATAAAGCTTGCAGGGATAGAAAGTTAACAAAGAGCAAATGACCGAGACTCAAAATTATGTTGTAAACCCAAACAACGGACCAAAAGTAAATCACATAAAATGCAAGGATACACTTAAAGGCATGCATTTAGATTTTTAAAATTTGCTCAAGGGTGGGATATGGGAAATACAGCTTGACAGCACATTCTGATGAAAACACCTGGAAGTTTCAGCAGAACACAAACGTAAAAACGGTAGCTGCTAGAAATGCAAGCAATCCTCAGCAACCATTTAAAAAACAATTTTTGGCTGAACTAACAGAAGCTTGGGTCTGAGACACTGGGAGGCAGGTTCGGGTAAGCTGAAGGAGGCAGACCACACGTCCGCTCAGCCCTGCCTGGGGCCGGCCCAGGAAGGGCAGAGACCTGGAACCAGTTCAGCTGCGCCAGGGCAGGACGAAAAACTGAAGAGCTGGGTGCTTAGCTCTGAAGAGACCTGTCCGAGGAGGCGTGACAGTTTCCTTCAATTATTTCAAAGGCTGCTACGTGGCTGAGAGAGAGGACTTATTTTGGACTTGTTCCAGGGGGCCATAACCAGAGACTGATTTTATAAGATTCAACTCTGGATTCCTATATAGAGATCGTTTCTAGTAACTGCTGCTGGCCACACATGCCACGAGCTACCCCATAATGCAGTGAGGCTACCGTCACTGGGGGCACGCCGACAACAGTGACAAGCGTCAGGGGCGGTACAAGACGTGGGGTCTTTATAGACTTGGGAGGTGCACCCATTCTCTCCTTGAGCCAAGAGCTCTCAAATCTACCCCATGCACCACAGATCGAGATGACCCGGGAATCACTTCTTTCTGCAATGATTCTATTGAAACACTGCTTGGGGTGGGCCGCACCTTAAGATACCATCTGCTTTCTCCTTAAAGAGGGTAACAGTGCCGTGAGGGAAATGAGTTCCAGAGCAGCACATCCTCAGGCCACGGGCATGGGGTGGAGGAGAGAGATCTGCTCTGAGCTGAATGAAGCCCGGGGACCCCTCACCTGAGTGCCTGCATTGGGCAGCTTAATATTCTCGGTGGCAGCAGTTACATCAATGGAAGCCCGCACGAGAATGTCCAGGTAGTTCATCTTGGAGTACTCCTGTCGGAGACAAAGTTAGTGAAAGCATTAGTGAAGAGGGAAATGTCCTGGGAGGTGGCAGACAACTTGAGGGGCACAGCCCGGCAGCGGAGCCCACCTCCAGAAACGTGCTGTTCCAGAGCCTCGAGCGCAGAACCACAGAGGCCTTGCTATCCAGCCCTCGGAGCGGGCACTGGATATTCACACAGTTCACGTTCACACTGCAGTTCTGGGGAGAAAAGGAAGAGCAGGGGTTACGGCACAGTGGTCTGGGGAAGGCCTTCCCGCCACCTCCTGTCAAACGCTCACAGCTCTTGAAAAATACTTACAAGGGTCTGGTATTTTCTTTCGGCAAATAAAGAAAGTTTTCTACCATCGTCTGTCTGTCTTTCAGCAATTTCTCGTTTCTTTCTTGAGTTGTGAGCCTCCTGAAAAGAATTACATCCAAAGTAGTTCCACCTAAGGTAATTTTTTGGTACTACTGTACAAACCTCTTGAGCTCTCCCTCCCAAACAGTGCCAAATTCACATGACTGACAATTAATCTTCATCCCTTCTCCCATCACCAAAGGCGCAGAAATAATTTAAGTGTAAAATCCACCAACCTACCTTTAGTTTCAGGAAGTTTATTTCATTTTGTGGCTGACAAGCTATCTTTTCCAATCCTTTGGATTCTACTTTCACCAAATAAAGCAACCATTTGCCATTGCTAACTTCTTTTGGCCACTGGATATTCAAGGTTGCTGTGCCGAGGTTTTTAAGAGGTTTGCCCAAGTTAATCACCTGTTAGGAAATAATACATAATTATCTCAGTGTAATTCCCTCAACATAAAATTAAGTAAGCAGTTCCTGTTGCCAAGAGAAAAAAAGCCAAAATATCTGGCATAATACTACGATAAAAGCACAGTTTCCAAAACTGGAGTATGGATAGGGCATTCAAAATAGAGATTTGTAAAAAAAAAAAAAAAAATAGAGATTTGTGCTTAAAGATTCCTGTCAATAAAAACAGAAAGAAAAGAGAGATCAAAGAGAAATAATTGTTCATTCAATCCAGGAACAACTTTTGTTGTAACAGAATCTGCAGTTAGATATGCCAGGCTCTCAACAGACCCAGGAAAAAGTCACATGTGTGTTTGTATATCACTCTGTAACCACACTGCCTGGCGGATGACAAAGCCTGTGTGGAGGCAGTGCACCCACAACCTGCTTCTGGGAAGCCCCCCCTGCTGCAAAAATGAAGCTGCCCCCGTCCTTACTATGCAGGGGAGGCTTGGGATAAACAACTGACAGACCCGGAGTAGGACCCTTCTGGCAGCCAGGAACCCACGAGTGCAAGCTGGGGGCGGGCAGGGAGCAGCTCCCTGCAGCAGAAATCGAAAGAGTTTGTGTGGAGGACTTCTCCGGAACCCACAGACCTCTCCTTCAGCCACATCTGCCTAGGTGCCATGACCACCACCCACTACCTGTCCCATCCATGTCTGCAGAGCTAAGAGATGCTTTCAGAGGAGAATTCTGCCTCTTCACCTTGTTGCAGTCACCGGTGGGCCCATTCTTGTTACTTCAGACTTTCACACCTCAACAACGGTCACTGTGTTTTCAGGAACATGATTGGAGACACACAGACCTAAACCTGCCTATGACTTAGGAGCCACCTCTGTACCGTGAGAATATGTTCATTCAACGGGACCAAGAGCCACTGGGATTGCCTACTTTGAAATGGGTCAGAGCAACCACTAGTCTTCCTTACTGGCATATGCCAAACCCACATTCACCATCACAAACCCGGGCTCGGGAAAGGATGTGAACATTAACCACAAGCAGTAAGAGAGATGACCTTATGATAGAGAAATAAATAAATCATAACACATTCTAAAGCCAGATACAAATTACTTTGAGATTTTTGTTTTATAGACAGACTCTGGAGGGGGAAAAATCGATTTTTCCTTTCTCTCTACACCACATGTACATTAAAACTCTCTAGGACCAAACTGAACTGGATTCTGAACAGAATCTTATGTTGAATGACAGCTGTGGTTCTCCATTCTGGAAAACATGACTTTTACACTAAGCCAGTATGGTGTTTAAAAGCTGGCAAACTCACTTTATCATGTTTATTTATTATTATTTGTTAAAATTACATATTCAAGACCATATACAGCACATGTTAGCTTTCAGTACATAGAACAGAAGGGCCAACTGCAGCCACTTACCCTGAACTCAAACTCAATTAAACTTCCCACTTCCTCTTCAGATCTCATAGCTTGCTCACCAATGACTGTACCTCCAAAATACACCTGGGAAGGTTTAGCAACTCTGTTAAATTAAAAAACACCAGTTTTAGCGAGGACTGTAAATGGTTCTTTCAAACACTGATTTGTTGTGCTAAACACAAACACTTACCCGGAGACCGATAACAGCAGTTCAATAACCACTCTTGCTGTAGCTGTAATTGAAGCCAAATTATCTTGATTGCTTGTTCTGAAAATGAAAAGGACACAATAGGGTTTTATTTTAACAGTCAGTTTTCTCATTAAATTACACTTCTTTTATGATTTAGATAAAGGCCGATTCATTGACTGGCTGTGTTTTCATGAAACAATTCTGAATGGAAGGTTGAAAGAACTCTTACGTTTCCAACTTCAGATTAATATCCAGATCTGTGGTGTCAAAGGTGATCTCAGTTGTACTTAAAATTAAATAAAAAGTAACCTAAAAAAACAGACATAGCTGTTAACACAGACTGAGCATATCGACACTGTAATGTTATTTAAAACATTAAAATACAGTATGTAAAGGCATCACCTACACTGGAATTTCTTTTAAAAGGGTTCCCAAGCTCACAGTCTGCTTGTGAGCCGTTCTGGTTTGCAACACAACTCAACTGTTTCTCCTGTAACAGAAGAACATACCAGATCACAACACATTCACCTGCCACACGATGTTTTTTCCGTCCAACATGGTCTCCAGAAATACTTACAGGGAAAGCCCTCAGTTCTCTATATGCAGAATAAGTCAAAGTGTCCGGAAAAGTGGCGATGAGTTTAGCTTCGTGAGCGTCATCACCATCTTTGGCGGGATTCTTTGGGTTGGAAGGGCTGTTTGTCACTGTTATTTCTAAAGCAATGTCCTTCTGATCTTTTAGAACTAGTTCTGGTACACCTTTTTGACTATTGGGGAAAAAAAAGGAAAATGACAAAGTTCTCAATACATTTTCAATAACCCTTCACAAAAAGTCACTGCAAAGCCAGAGTCATTTGTGCTAGTGCTATGGAGCAATTCTTACATTGGTAAATAAGAAAATTTGTCTTGATTTCCTTCTCGGGTACAAAATTTATATTCTAGTTTAAGGTTGCTGTTACATACGTTGTCGTCTCCACATCCCTCTTTTAAGAAGTGCACCTGTAGGAAAACAAAATCGTTGTAATTTACATCACTTAGGACTCTAAATAGGTGACTGTTTCCATACAGTTCATTTCCCTGTGTGACAATTACGACAGCAGAATCCAAGCTACAAACATACTTTGCATCAAACGCCCACTCTGTCCTTTAATGAAACTGTGTTTTCAGAACACTCCGGCCAGAGCACTGAGGTGCTGTAGGAGAGTAAAGAGTAAACCTGGCTCTGCTGCTCACTCAGTTGTATGGCTTTGGGCGAGTCACTTAACCTTTCAGAGTCTAAGTTTCATCACAGGTGACATGGGATACCACCTCCCTACTCTACAGGGTTACTGTAAGAATTACCAATAATAATGACAGTGCTACCTAACACATGATTACATATTTTAACTCATGTAATCCTCACAAGGGACCTATGAGGCATATACTACTCAGAGCCCCATTGCACAGATGGGGAAACAGAGTTCAAGGTCAGGAAAGCAAAGGGCAGAGTATCTTGCACTGTGCTAAGGGGTGCTCAATAATCACACTGATAAATAATTAGGAAAACCGTCTCCTTGCTTGTCACGTTTAATGTGACTATGGAGCTGGCAATATATACAAGAAATGTTAATGTGACTATGACATTGAGAGTATATTGAAAAGTATACAAGGAACTATGCCTGATGACAATAAACACTACAATGTGCAGATTTAGGCATCAGCCCCCAAGCCTAACTCACTCGTGAAAACCTTCGTCAGTGAGCCATTAGAACCAGGTGCCTCAGAGTGGACACTCCAGTATGAACTAGATTTTGACAACAAGTACAAAACGCCAAATCAAGATGTCACCGCTCCCCAGCCTAATCTGGCATCTCAGCCATCCTAAACCCTAGCAAAGAGACCGCACCTCGTAAGTGGTATACAGCAAGCCATCCAATATAAATTTTTCTCCCTAAGATTACAGAGGCTACATTAGGCACTAAATGACTATTTCACTGTTAATACATTTTTGCCTAGCTGAATTTTGATACTCCTTGATTTTAATGTTCAGACTAACAACAGTTTCCTTTCTACATTTTAATGCTCTCAGTGGTAAAATACAACACATTTTTCTTCCTACATACAGCTACAGGAGAAACTTGATGTGAGAATAATAAATTCTGTCAATTATAGTCTCAATAAGTTGCAGTGGCCAAAAATTATTAAGAAAAATACTCTCTGGCTCCAAATTGTACCCTGTATATGTTCACTGCTAATTTGGGAAACATTTTCTGCAACAAACCTTGCATATATTAAAAAGCTTATTTACTGCAAAGGAATGGCCTTTAGAGCAAATCAATCACTAGTTCTACTGCCCCCAGAGATGTCTGATTTAGCATAATAACACGGCAAACAATTGGCAAAATGAAAGTCAGAAAGACTTACATCTGTATGAACAGACTTGGGTTCGTTTGAATTCAGAATTGGAAGAACTTCTGGAAGCGAATTCACTCGCCTCCGAGGGCTCGGCTCTTGGATCTCTACTGAAGCTGTTATGGGGATGGGACGCAGTTTATCTCTGATATTTTCCTGGAAAGTATGCAGAGATACAGTTAAGCATGACATACATGCTACTGGGGAACTCCGAAACAATGCTTTCCTTTGTACTGGAAAATGGGTTGCTAGTATAAATGTCAGAAATCTCCACGTCACCACGGACCCCCTTTAAAAGAACTGATCTGTCTGCAGCCCTCACCTGGAGCCAGAGGGTTTCCTCCATGCACGCCTTCTGCTTCTGCCTGCTCAGAGTGAGCGCCTGCGTATATTTGGGCTCAGAACCGTGGTTTCGAAACTGAACTCTTGATGACAGCCCAGATTTTCTTCTTTCCTTTTCAGCCTCCAGCGTGCCCGCAATGGCTAGGTGAAATCAACAAAATCATGGCAACTCAGAAGTGCATTCATACACAAGGCAGCTGTAAGTATGGTGAGTTCCTTTTTGATATATTTTAATCCCTCCTAGAACACTTTTTCCCACTGCCATTGTTTTCCTTCATATTTCCTTGGTAATGTACATTCTGACTGAATTATGATGTTTCAAATCAAGCTGTTCTCTCCTACCCATTGCTGTGAACAATGTTTTAAAGCTACACTTCCATTGGGCCACCTGGGGGAGCTCGAGAGTAAGTCAAAACCTCAGAGCAGCATCTAAGAATCAGTTTCTGACTGTGTTTCTAGAACTCAGAGTACCTCAGACAACAGGAGGGCAGCCAACACTCCCTAAGCGTCTAAACTGGCTCCCCCTTCAACAGTCCGATGCTTAAATTCAAAAAAGTTCTCTAGATCAGCAGCAGGGGCTTCTCCTGAGTTGTGTCAGGAATGCAGAACCTTGGGCCCCAGCCAGACCTACTTAACCCGAATCTGCATTTTAACAAGATCATCAGGTGGTTCTTACACACATTAGCGAGAGAGAGGCATGGACATTATATACACTACCAAATGTAAGGTAGATAGCTAGTGGGAAGCAGCCGCATAGCACAGGGAGATCAGCTCGGTGCTTTGTGACCGCCTAGAGGGGTGGGATAGGGAGGGTGGGAGGGAGGAAGACGCAAGAGGGAAGAGATATGGGAACATATGTATATGTATAACTGATTCACTTTGTTATAAAGCAGAAACTAACACACCATTGTAAAGCAATTATACCCCAAAAAGATGTTAAAAAAATTTTTAAAAAAAGCTTTGATAAAGGATAGTTGTCTAAAAGAGGAACAATATATATTAGAGATGGAGATGTCTTTTGACAATAGGATGAGACTTTTCACTTAAAAAAGAAAAAGAATTACAAGGTAAAATATACTTCCTTTCAGGGGCTAGAGGGCCCGTTTGTCAGCTAATAAAACTCCGACAACCGAAGTTTCCCCTTCCAAAGCCCCAGAAGGCACATCCTGCTTGCGATTACCTACAACCCCAACAGAGCTTGGAGACAAGCTAGGGTTTGGATGATCAAAAATCTCATTTCTTGACTTCAGAATGCATTCGTTGCCAGTTTGCTATATGTAACTGCTAACTCTAACTATGTTTCTTTATGGGCCAATACTTAAATGACTTACATTTATTAATCACTCACTAACCATCAGAAGAGGAAGTGAACCAGTGTGTACAGGGCCAGGGCAGGTAGCTTCAAAGGAAAAAAATCTGCTCCAGAAAATGAATAACCCATGTTCTAATATTCACGTTAGAGTTTGGAAGAGACCTTTTTAAGAGCATCTATTTTAATTCCCTCTTCTTACACATGAAGAACTGGAGGCCCACAGAGCTAGGTGCCTGGCCCAGGGTCCTACAGTGAGGGATGGAGGCAACTCCTAAAGTCTCTGTCACAAACACAAAAGACGACTGCCTTACAAAGCCTCTTAGACATGCAGGTTCCCACTTCCCCTAGGCCTCTGCACAAGTCACTCTCCCCTTCTGCCGGCTGGACCACCCTTACTTTTTGACTCCCCGTCACTGGCTGACTAACCCTACTCCCCCTTCAGATCTCAGCGTGGACATCGCTTCCTCTAGGAAGCCTCTCCTCGCCCCCAATGGGGGTCCGACAGTATTCCTCTCATAACCACACTTAGCCTGCTGAGCTGTGACTGCCTGACCATCTTCCCAGGCAAAGCCGTGCCAGGGATCACCTCGGTCGGTTCACCACTGTACTCCCCGGCAACAGCAGAACACCTGACATAAATATAATTGGTAGAATAGATGAACAGAAGCATACACGCCAATACAGCCAATGCACATTTGCGCACACACAACGTGACGTTATCCTTATGCTGAAACAATAGCTGTTCCAATATGGAAGGCCAAAATTTAGAAATGACAGTTTCAACAGTAATTTCTGTGTCCATCTAAAGAATTCTTAAATGTCACGGCTGCCAAATGGAATGTGCCTCCATTTTAGGCCCTCTGTGAACCTTGACATCATCCATTTATCAGTGACCTGCTAACTTCACAATGAACCAGACGAAGGCTCACATGCTGAGTGCCCCTCACAGCAAAAGCAGGGGAGGGTGTGGGTGCATTAAAACCGTTTATCTACCAAACCCACTCTAACCTTTTCTGACCCTCCAGGCAGTTCACATCATCTTAAAATCCTTGCCGGCCACCTTTGCTGACCTTTTGAGGGGCAAGCCAAGTAGAATAGTCATTAAGGCTCAATTATAAATATCTGTACGTATGGAACACCACATCTGAGGACTGCTGAGTTAAAACAGCCTAGTCAAACAATAAGCTCACACTCTCTGACACTGGAAACACAGATTTTAGAGGTATTAACTTCTGCAGCTTTCTGCAAGTTCTGCTTTATTTGATTCAGAATTTCCCAATACCATGGAAGCAAAGGCAATGAAAACAGTTTTTCTCTCAATGTCTTCAGAAAAAAAAGTTCTATCTATAGTAGGCCATCCATACACACTTGGTTAATGGAGTAGTTACAGAATATAAAATTAATTTACATGGCATCACGTGCAGCATTAAAGCTAAAGAAAGTTTGTAATTTATTTTGTATAAATGATTGATCTGGGGGAAGACACGGAGTGTTCTGGTGAGATTTCACGTCTACAGGCAAACAGAGTGGTTTGAGAACACGACCAATAGAATAAAAAACGTGTCTCCGTTTCCTCTCCTTGCCCAGTCAAAGAATCACTGTTTCTCCTGGTCTCTCTAGGCCACTTCCAAACACAATGTTTTGTAAAAGGCCCGTCACCCAAGCCAGCAAGTGTAAGGCACTGTATTTGGGTAAAAACAACACAAACTACACTGAGAGGATGACAGATTGTGAGAAATCATAAAATGTGTCGTCACCGAAAGCCACACAAAAAACGATTTTCTGTACTCAATAAAATACCAGCTACATCAAAAGTAAAGTGAAAGGCCACGGCTCCTCCGGTGTAGAAAGCCCTAATACACGCATACCGTGCACACTCCATGCAAGGTCCACAGATCCTGTGGGGAGACTGTACAGCAGAAGGTGGCCCAGAAGAAGGGGCCTAAAAAGGTCAAAGAGATGAAGAAACCACCTGAGGACAGTTTAAAATCTGGTAAGATGAAGGCCAAGTGGGCCTATGACAGCATGGATTGGGTGAAGGCCGACTTAGTTGTCAAATTCTGGGGTGTTATAAAGGGACATTTTTTAATAAAGAAAAGAAAGTAATACTTTAGGTAACACAGACAAACCCTAAGAGAACTCACTCCATCTCAAGGTAGAGTAAAAACTGAAAGCCATGAGAATAGACCACCCTGTCCTTCCAGAAAGCTTCTCCTGGGGGCATTGCTGGACTAGAATACCAAGCTGCTGGGACCACGGCCGACCCAGGAAGGAAATCACCCTCACTCTGTACTTCCTCTTCGGGGAAAAGATTTTCTTTAAATTCCTAGGCCCCCAACTTCACTCTGGCTTACTCCTGAAGAGGTGCAGCTGCTACTAAAACATACCAGACAAGGCCTTGGTGATCATCACTACTGTGAGAGTATCGTTAAAAATTTGTCAAACTTTGTGGCAAAACTCCTATTCGGGTTATAAAGAAAGGAAGCGGACTAGACCTTATAAATGACAACCTGCTTTCCCCACCTTATCTCATTTGCTCTCCACCACAATCCTATGTAGTAATTCCTATCAGAAGCATTTTTTTTTTTTTTAAACTGATAGGAAAATAAAAACTCAAACGTTAAGGGACCTGCTCTGTGTTGAACGGTCAGTCAGCATCGGTGCTGGAACCAGAAGCAGGGCCCAAGTCTCTGAGTTCTCAAGGCCGGCCTTCACGTTCCCCCAGGGCCCACCTTAAGGGACACAGCTTGGGTGTTCTGGGCCACGGAGGCCTCTGGGAGGGGACCGGGCAGCAAAGAGACTGTAAACTGGCAATTATTAGAGCAGGACACGGGCTCCTGCGGTCACTCTTTTACAGCTACCACCCGCCACCTCACAAGCACAAAACCAATTTTCCACACTGCTTTTCAAAGACAGAAATGGAGGAAACAGTTGTGGAAGCAAATGAGTACTTTTCCAAGGCATTCATTCTGTCCTACACCATCTGCTCTGGAAACTTCAAATGGGGACCAAATGCAGTTTTCCCCTTGGGCTTCACCCTCCTGATTAAAGAGGAGACAACAGATAGACTTAGTTCTTTAAACCAGAATTTATGGACCTATTCTGGCCATTACAGTTTTTTATTCTTCTTTTATTTATGCAACTTTCAACCTGGCAGACAGAAAAGATATAATTTTAAAAGTACCAGGTACTTACTTATTGAAGGATTGTAACGAGTGGGTTTGGCAGTATATTCAAAACAGGCCTTAACCTTCAGGCTGTATAAAATCAAACACATATTTCTTAAGAGATGCATTATTGCCCTAGAAAAAAATCCCAACACGTTCCCCAACCCTGAAATCCCCCCAGAGACGACTGATGAGTAAAATGTTATATATTCACTTGACAGATTCCTCTTCCCTTTGCCCATTTCTCTTAATCTTCCCTGTGGCTCCTCAGGGTAACAGGGCCATCATCAAGCAGAGACGTGACACTGGGGG